CAACGTGTCATGGAGTGTATTCAGGCAGCCATTGAAAGGCGAGCATCAGAGGTATGGCTGCACTTCTTTTTGAGATTTATATTTTCGCAGTTCATAAAGCACATATTTTCAGGCTGCTCGCCCTCTTGCAGGGACTACAACTTGAGCTGTTCACAGATGATCATTTTGGACTTCTCTCAGATATTACGAGGATACTTCGTGAGAATGGTTTATGCCCCAAAAGGGCAAAAATTTCGACAAAGAATGGGAAAGCAAGACATAGTTTTATTGTCACAGATGTGTCTGGCAACCCTGTTGAGCCTAAAACTATCTATTTGATCCGGCAGCAAATGGGACAAACCGTGATACAGGTGAAAGGAAATTTAAGCATGTCTCCGAAATTTCCCCAGGAGACATCAAGAAGTTTCCTTTTTGGGAGCTTTTTCAAATGCCCTAGTTTCCAAAATTCTAGACTCATCAAATCCCTTTCATGATATGCGTTTGCAGACATTGCAAAATCGACAGGACAAGTTCCTTGAAGGACTCCATTTCAGTGGGACCATAAGTGACTTCAAAGCTAATTGTTAGTTTACATGGCTTGTGTACATCTATTGTACAGATTGCATTGGGTTTGTAATAGAGATAGAATGATTGTAGAGATGAAGATCATTAATGAAAAGAAGCAAATATGTTTTAGCAATGATTTCTTTTCGCACAGCGTTGGCTCAATTTTCTACAAACTATTTCTCTCAAGCTAATAATGCTCTGATGCAGTGATACCATGTTCATGGTATTGAGTAACCTCATTACCATATTGAACAAACTTCCATATCATATCCATTAATTCCTACTTTTAAGCTCCAAAGCAATTTAAAAATAGGATAAAGCAAGGCTCCTGTAGGTGTTAACGAGGAAATTCCCGCAGAGCAACCAACGTTGAAACAATCGACACTAGAAAGGTAAACTGGATTTTTCAACTAAAACTTGATCACTATACAAGTTAAGAAATCGTTAAACTGCCATGATCTATGTCTGCGAATCTCATGGGACATCACCATGCTTCCTAATCCAACATCTCTCAAGAAAAGGAATCTTGCAATATCAAGATGAAAAAAGCATGAGGCACAAATGATGCACAGGGCGATTACCTGGTAGAACGCAAATGAAGTGTTCTAAAACTGAAGTGAACTGTTAGCGTTCCAAAAGCCCTTTAGAATTTCATAATGCATACAAAACGAGCAATAAAAACCATATCCAACCTGCACAAAATACTGTCTAAAGATATAAACAGTCGCCTTCCACTACAAACCATCCATGTCAAATTCAACTCTTAATTAGAAGGGTATCAAGACAAGTCCCTCAGTACTCATTAAGTTTAATTACCAACACAGAATTACCGATGTACTGTAAAAATTAATAAATATTTAATTATTTATTGGTAATTTTATTGATAAAAAGCCCAAAATAAAAGATGAGAATCTCTAATTTCATTTGTCAACAGTGTTTTATTCTTCTTGTTTACTTCTTCTCTCTTCCCCCCTTCAATCTTTCTCTCTTCGTCTTCTTCTTCTCTTCTCTCCCTGTCAACTTTTTCTCTGGCTTCCCTCTCATTCTCTTCACCTCTCACTCCATCCTCAATGCCAGACAAGTCTTCATCCTCCAAGCCTCCGGTCCAAGTAAGCCTCTTGCCCTTCCTTTTTTTCTGTTTTTTGCCAATGTTTGTTGAGAGAGTCTGGGTACTTGAATGTTGGTTATTTGCTTCTGTTTATTTGAATAATGTTTTCTTGATGAATAAATTATGTGTTATACTATAGGAAAGTACAGAAATATCCCCATTACAATGAGGTGCTTGTATGGTGATTATTTGCTTCTGTTTATTTGAATATTTTTTTTAATGAATAAATTATTTTTTATACTATTAAAGTTAGGAAAGAATGGGAATGCCCCCTTTCTAATTACCTTTATAATTAGGTGATTGATCGCTAAAAGAGTGAAAACGGGTGGACATTGGTTTGTTTTAGGTTAGAGAACATGGTTTCAAAACAATATAGCTAGTTTTAAAGTGCATATCACTTAGTTCGTTAGGGTATATATATAGCATAGAATGAGAAAATTAGGAGGGCTAATTTTTTTTTAATATTAGTCATAAATAAAATTAATTGGTTTATAGATTTATTTATTAATGTGTATTTTCATATAATAAAATTTTGATAGTTTTTTATATAAAAAAGGTGCTACTGTTTATTTTAAATAGGTTATATTAAAAATATTATTATCTGTTTTATGCTTGAATTTGTTTGGATCATGAAAAAAAGATCATTAGTGAGTAATATGAAGAAAAACACAACTAGTTATTCTAGAAATGCTTCTAATAAACTGTGCTGATCATAACCAAGCACTTGAGGCATAAATATTCTTTTTCGACCTAGCCTTGTAGAGTATAATGTCATCTCGTAAAGGGGGTGTGTCTTATAAGAAATAAATATAAACAACCACAACACGTAAGTTTTGTTTTCCTTGCATGATTAAAAAATAAATAACAATGAATACTTTTTTAATAATTAATTTCCAAGAATGAATGGGATTTCAATTTTATAAATATGAAGTTGCTCATATTATAACATCGACAATGAAATCGTCGATGCAAGTGCATTTATTTTAATGGAGTCAGGCTTTCAAGAATCTTAAATGGAATGATTGATACTTGGTTTGAAAAGTTCAATATTAATATATATATAATTATTATTTTAATTTGGTTAATTTTTTAATTTTAATCAACTAATTATTTTATAAATTGATGTACAAGAAAAAATTTACTGGGAGGAGGATGACAATGCAATTGCCAAGAGGGTATGAGAATCAAAACTCCATTAGGTAAAATTAAATTCAAAATATTATATTTTTTTTAAATATTCAAATTTTATTTTTTCATTATCTTAATCGATATTTTATTTCTACTATATAGATTGCATGATTTATGCTATAAGGTGCAAAAAAAATCAAAGAAATATGAAGAAAAAAAAAGATCTTCTAGGCTGGGAAGTCATGGCTATGTAGAGAGATTTTAGACCTCCACATATTTCGGAGGCTATCTAGAAAGCTTATATCCAACACGTGATGTCTGACCATTTAGTGCAGCGGTCGCAATCTAGTGCAGAGAACCAGAATAAAGAGATTCGTGGTTCAATTACCATGGACATTGACAGATCTATTCTGTACATTTCGCATGCAGAATAGATAATAGGATTATATTTTATTAAATATATATTTTTTAATTATTTTTTTATATGAAAATGTTTAATTAATAATAATTTTTTTTTTGCAGGTTATGACTCTTAAACAGAGTCTAAGATCAATTGAGTTTTTTGTTGAAACTCACATATGAAATAAGAATTGTCGGAAAGGAGTGTAGTAGCTTGTGGATAGCTAAGCTTAGAAGTTTGTAATAAGTTGGATTTTAACAATTTTTTAAAGTCATTATTTTTTAAAATTTCTCAACTATTTTTTTCAGGAAACATATAACATCCAATTCCAGGAAAGATATGGAGATAATTCTTCAATTTATGTGAAACTTGATCTGGATTTATAGTAGGAGGTAGAATCGTCTAATGAACTCGATAAAAATCAAGTTTATAATATCTCAAACACGACGACCGAGAATATATGAATGGATCATAATATATCGATTGTTGGTTCCTTGTAATTGAGTTAGAGCTTTCAATCTTTGACTTTCCAAGCAATTGTATGAGAACAAGTTAAAGCTCGAACAACTTGACTTAGTGCGGAGATGACTCAACTTAGTTTCGAGACAATTGAACTTAGGCGATTATACAAGGAGTTGTTTTCCACCCTCACTGGAACATGTGGTCAACCTTGTTGCCCATCTGGTCTTAGCAAAGATTCACCTCCTCCTCCTTCAGCTTTTATCCATTAAATAAATTGTATTTAATAATATTTTTTAAATTAATAATAAAAATTTGATTTTTTATTTCAGTTTCCTTCTTTTAATTTTTTTTATGTTTTTTTATTTTATTTTTAAAAAATATTAAATACAATACTAATAAAAAAACCAAAAAAATTTGAATCACATATAAAATTATTAACATAGTGATTTTCTCGAAAAGTTCTATATAATTATTCCATCAATAATTTTATTATCGAAAGAATAGAAATTACCAATAACATGTTTTTCAACGACAAGTTACCATTTGTAATTCCATCAAAACATTTTCCAACATAATTACTGTTTAAATAGCTAATAGAATATTAAATCAGTATTATTCAATATACTGGGTGTGCTCTAACTTTTAACATCAAACCAAATACATTCAAATTAACTTCAATAAATTGTAAAATATCAACTCGAAAGGTAGGTTTGATAAGAGATTTATAGTAATTATTAAGTTTTTAAATTCAAATAATAAAATTAATATATATGAGAATTTATTACCAACTCACACCGGACCAATTTGGATGTGCATAATTCTTAATAATAATAATAACAATAATTCATACTAGGGTGGTTCATGAATGGTACAGGTAATTGTGAGGGTAATGATCAAGGAACAGCTTTCTTTAAATCATTCAAAGATTATGAAGATCTGGACGCAATTTAGTATTTATGGTTGTATTCATCACAAAGTTGGCACTAGATTACTTCCTCGCCAAGTGAACGGAGGAGAAGAAGTTGAAAAAGAAGCATGTTGTTGCCATGGTCGCGCACAACTAAAATTGCGGCGTGTGGGCACAGAACCACGTCGTGGTAAGCTGAAGCTATTATTTGCCACCGGGGCTGCCTGACATAAAAAGAGAAGAGAAGATGATATAGTTCTAGAAAACCCTATGACGATATGGTGGCAGCCCTCTCCCCATTGGTACCTACCGCCTACTAATTCATAGCGGCAACAGGAGCAAGTATTGCTTTCTTGCGGCCACCTGGTGATACAATGTCGGTGGTAAACATGACAGCACGGCATCCGACCAGCTTCATTACCCGACTCAAATTCTTTTTTGCGAACCGCACAAACTCCCATGAAGTCAAAGCTTCCGCCTAAGTCCGTTTAAGAATATAATAATAATTATTTTTTAAAATAATTTTATATTAAAATAATTTTTTTTATTTTTTAAAAATTATTTTTAATATACAAGATCTAAAAATACTAAACAAGTTAATTTAAAAAAATAATTTTTTTTAAAAACACGAAATACAAAAACAAACAAGTTTTAAATTAATGTTCGTATTGTCTATTTAAACGTCAACAATTTTAGTCATTGCCAGCTCTCTGTGGACTGATAGTCGGATCGGACGAGCAGGTACGGACACCAGGAGCAACCATGCAGATTGTGGATCAGCCTATCTATCTTTTCATTTTATTCATAAAATAATAATAATAATAATAATAATAATAATAATAGTTGTGTTTAGTCAAAACTAGCATTAGTTTATTGACCAATTAAGAGAGATGTGATGGTTAGTAGGCTTCCAAAAATCATGTTGATCCAGCTTGTTCGAACTAATCAATCAGATAGTGGAGTGACAGACTTGCTACCTTATTCTCTCAAGTCTCAAATAAATAATAGAGTTCTGTTTGCCAATAAAAAGAAAAAAGAAAAAGAAAAAGCTGATGACTTCTACAAATGGCTGCGTAAAAAGTCCGGTGGCAAAGCTTTCAGCTGATATTTTAGCATGGTTCTCTGTTGGGC